GGAACTTGTTATACGTATATAAAGAGCAAGAGAGTAGCCAGGGAAAGGGTTGGCCCATTCAAGGACAGGGAAGGGAATTTATATGTGGAGCCAGAGGAAATGGCTGAGGTATTAAATGAGTACTTTGCGTCAGTATTCACTATAGAGAAGGACTTGGTGGATGATGGGTCTGGGAAAGGGTGTGTAGACAGTTTGGGTCATTTGAGATCAAAAGGGAGGAGGTATTGGGAATCTTGAAAAACATTAAGGTAGACAAGTTCCCAGGGCCTGATGGGATATACCCCAGAATACTGAGAGAGGCATGGGAGGAAATTGCTGGGGCTTTGAGGGAAATCTTTGTATCCTCACTGGCTACAGGGGAGCTCCCAGAGGATTGGACAATAGTCAATGCTGTTCCTTTGTTTAAGAAGGGTGGCAGGGATAATCCAGCTAATTACAGGCCAGTGAGCCTTACGTCAGTGGTAGGGAAATTATTGGAGAGGATTCATCGAGACAGGATTTACTGCCACCTGGAAATCAATGGGCATATTAGCAGGAGGCAACATGGTTTTGTGAAGGGGAGGTCATGTCTCACTAATTTGATTGAGTTTTTTGAGGAAGTGACAAAGATGATCGATGAGGGTAGGGCAGTGTCCACATGGACATCAGTAAGGCCTTTGACAAGGTCCCTCATGGCAGGCTGATACAGAAGGTAAAGTCACACAGGGTCAGAGGTGAGCTTGCAGGATGGATAAAAAAACTGGCTCAGTCATAGAAGACAGAGGGTAGCAGTGGAAGGGTGTATTTCTGAATGGAGGGCTGTGACTACTGGCGTTCCTCAGGAATCAGTGTTGGGACCTTTGCTATTTGTAATATATATAAATGATTTGGAGGAAAGTGTAATTTGTTTGATTAGTAAGTTTGCGGATGACACAATGGTTGGTGGAATTGCAGATAGCGATGAGGACTGTCAGAGGATACAGCAGGATATAGATCAGTTGGTGACTTGGGTAGAGAGATGGTCGATGGAGTTTAATGTGGAAAAATGTGATGTAATGTATTTTGGATGGTCTAATCCAGATGGAAAATATACAGTAAAATGGCAGAATCCTTAAGAGTACTGATAAGCAGAGGGATCTGGGTGTACAAGTACACAGGTCACTGAAAGTGGCAACACAAGTGGAGAAGGTAATCAACAAGGCATTGGGCATGCTTGCCTTCATCGGCCAGGGCACTGAGTTTAAAAATTGGCGGGTAATGTTGCAGCTTTATAAAATCTTAGTTAGGCCGCATTTGGAATATTGTGTTCAATTCTGGTTGCCACATTACCAGAAGGATGTGGTGGCTTTAGAGAGGGTACAGAAAAGATTTACCAGGATGTTGCCTGGAATGGAGGGCATTAGCTATGAGGAGACGTTGGAGAAACTTGGGTTGTTCTCACTGGAATGACAGAGGTTGAGGGGTGACCTGATAGAAGTCTACAAGATTATGAAGGGCATGGACAGACATGGTCAGTCAGAAGCTTTTTCCCAGGGTGGAAGAGTCAGTTATTAGGGGCCATAGGTTTAAGGTGCAAGGGGCAAGGTTTAAAGGTGATGTACGAGGCAAGTTTATTACACAGAGGGTGATGGGTGCCTGGAACTCGCTGCTGAGGGAAGTAGTGGAAGCAGATACTATAGTGAGTTTTAAAGGGCATCTTGACAAATACATGAATAGGATGGGAATAGAAATATAAATAAATAGAAATAGAAATAGAAATATAGAAATAAAAATGTGAGGTGATTCATTTTGGAAGGACAAATTTGAAAGTAGAATACAGGGTTAACGGAAAGATTCTCAGCAGTGTGGAGGAGCAGAGGGATCTTGGGGTTCATGTTCACAGTTCCCTGAAAGCTGCCACCCAGGTAGATAGAGTTGTTAAGAAGGCGTATGATGTGTTAGCTTTCATTAATAGAGGGATTGAATTCAAGAGCCGTGAAGTTATGCTTCAGCTGTACAAAAGCCTGGTTCGGCCACACCTGGAGTATTGTGTCCAGTTCTGGTTGCCTCATTACAGGAAAGATGTGGAAGCGTTGGAAAAGGTGCAGAGGAGATTTACCAGTATGTTGCCTGGAATGGAGGGAAGGTCTTATGAGGACAGGTTGACAGAGCTAGGGCTTTTCTCTTTAGAACGACGAAGGATGAGAGGTGACTTGATAGAGGTGTACAAAATGTTCAGAGGTATAGATAGAGTGGGCAGCCAGAGACTTCTTCCTAGGGTGGAGGTAGCTATTATGAGGGGGCATAGTTTTAAAGTGAGTGGAGGTAGATATAGGGGAGACATCAGAGGTAGGTTCTTTACTCAGAGAGTGGTAGGGGCGTGGAATGCATTGCCGGAGAGGGTAATGGAGTCAGACTCATTAGGGGCGTTTAAGCGGCTATTAGACAGGCATATGGATGATAGTATAAGGTAGGGGTGGAGGTTAGATAGACCTTAGGTTTAGGGTCAAAGTTTGGCCCAACATCGTGGGCCGAAGGGCCTGTACTGTGTTGTACTGTTCTATGTTCTATATTCTATGTTCTATGTTCTATGATACGGTTCCCGGAAGGCTAAGGGGTTTTAGTTGTGACAGGCAGCATGTTGGTGCAGGCTTGGAGGGCTGAAGGGCCTGTTCCTATACTGTAATTTTCTTTGTTCTTTGTTCTTTGTTCAATCACAACTCCTCAGATACTGAAGCAATCCATGTCTATACGTAAGAAAACCTAACAACATCCAGGCTTGGACTGATAAGTGATAAGTAATGCATACAGAACACAAGTGCCAGGCAAGGACTATCTCCAACAAGGGACAATTGATCCTTGACATTGAAATGCTGTCCCATCACTGAACCTGCCCTTATCAACATTATGAGTGTTACCATTGAGCAGAAGCTGAACAGGACTTGTGATATAAATTCAGTGGATAGAAGAGCAGCTCACTGACTAGGCATTGTGTGGTGAGTAACTCACCTCCTGACTTCCAAAGTCTGCCCATCATCTACAAGGCAGAAATGAGGAGTGTGATGGAATATTCCCCAACTCCCTGGATGAGAGTAGCTCCAACAACATTCCCGAAGCTTGATACCGTGCAGGACAAAGCAACTACTTAATTACTTGATATGCATTTCCATCACCACCAAAGCACAGTGACAGCAATGTGCTCCATTTACTGCACAGCAATATCTAATGAAGGCTTCTCCACAATCATCTTATAAACCCCTGACTTCCGCCACCTAGAATGGCAAGTACATACATGCCTGACTTGGTAATATATCGCTATTCCTTTACTGTCACTGGGTTCTCAAACTACCTTCCTAATTGAGTTATGGGTGACCCTTTTTATGACCATTCCCTAGGGAAGTTTCCCCAATTTGCTGTGATTCCAGACAGAATTCCTCAAACTGTTAAGCTCCCAGGTAAAATTGGGGAAGAGAATCTCCTGGGTTAGTCAGGTTTTTTTGCCTTTATTCATTCATGGGATGAGGGCATCGCTGGCTAGGCAGCATTTCTTGGCCATCCCTAATTGCCCAGAGGGCAGTTAAGAGTCAACCACATTGCTGTGGGCCTGGAGTCACATGTAGGCCAGACCAAGTAAGGATGGCTGTTCCCTTCCCTAAAGGGCATTAGTGAACCAGAAGAGTTTTTCCAACAATTGACAATGGATTCACGGTCACCATTAGTCTGTTAATTCCAGATATTTTATTGAATTCACATTCCACCATCTGCCGTGATGGGTCTCTGGATTAACAGTCCAGTGATAATAACGCTAGGCCATTATCTCCCCATGTTGGTTGCAGTGTTTAATTTTAAAAGGATCATGTCCTTTGTTGATAGCTACCTCCAAGACCCAAATGAACTTCTGTTTTTAAAAAAGTTAATTTAACTAGAATTTCTTGAATTAATGAAAGGTGTAAGTTTATTAATTATTGAAAGCAAGAAGAAATAATGTTGCAAAATACACACACAGAGATCAGAAATAAGATGTGAGTCTTAAAAGGTTAAGGTTAAAATAAGATATATGTGTCGGTCTTTGAATTGTTTTTGATGAGTCGATGGTTGAATGAGGTGGCTGTTGAAGTGGATGATACATGTAACAATGACTTTGGTAGTAGACTAGGTTTTGAAATAGCTGGCTCTGCAGGTTGTTTGAAACTCCTTTGTTCTAATTCTTTTTGGTAGTAGGTGATTAACAGCATTCAGACTGAGAGAGAGTGTTTTCCTTTCTCTTTACCTGATATCAAACCCCATGACTCAATGACCTGTTCCCCGCTAACAATTCAGACCTGCTTAAGCCTTGCACCTTTTTTCAAAGCTTGTGAAGACTATGGTTCCCTCTCTCTCCCCATGCCAATGTGTTTCCCAGTCAGTGTGCTAGTACTGTAGCACCTGTTTCTCTTGAAATATAAATTGTGATTATGTTAATTTTGGCATTCTTGCAGTTGTCCTTCTGATTGCAAAACAGAAAGCTTCAGCAATATTTTTCTATCAAGATTGAAGTTCTGAGCTGTGAAATTACTGAATCTTTTCTTTCTATGAATAATCTTTATTGAGTCCAAACCAAGGAATCATTTTAGAAGTATTGGTATTGAGCTAAGTTTGGGATGACATATCCTGGGAAAAGTAGCTCAAATATCAGGATTGCTTCAATCAATTGTATGGTGTAGGTCAGTTTATGCCAACTGGTTTGGCTAGTTAAAGTATACCTATGATCAGACTGAGGATCTTAGTTCAAGCTATCACCTTCACACAGATTGTAAACCCAAACTCAAGTCCAAGGAAACAAGGAGACCTTTGTAATCATATTTGTAGGCATTGGATAATTAGACATCCTGTCACCAGAATAGCACAACCAAAATACCTCCAGGAACACCTCAAAGCTGTGAATTGGTGCAGCAACCAGAAGTTTAGCCCTACCTCTTTTTGAAGAAAGTTCAGTACTTTCTCTCATAATACTCAGTTAAAGCAGCTGAAATAACTTTATTCAAAATGTTTTCCAAAAACAGGTTTGAAATCAGAGCAAATCTGCATTATATATCATTGTTGCTCGTTTGGTTCTGGATCAGCAATTCTGGCCCAGCATCATCATAGCTCTGAGGTGCACTACAAGAAAAATCAAGCCCACACAGCCTGGTGTACCTAGGTACAGTCACAAAAAGCTAATTACTTTCACTGGCAAAATTCAAAATTTTGCTTTGAACATAATTCCTCAGTATTTCAAATTAATTTATTTCTTTTCTTACTAGTGAAAAAGGTAGAATTTCTTGAAAGCGTGATAAGAGGAAAACCTCAGGGCTACAGAGATCAGAAAATATACTGCCAGCAGGTCAGTAAATCTTAATGCCAATTCTCACTGCAGTCTCCCCTCTGAGAGCATCTTATTCTCACTGAGCGAAAAAGTTTATGTTTATCTCTCATGTGATACTGACTATGTAAGTATCGTATTTCTAATTGAATAGGTACCTGAAAAATGGGCTCATGTTTTATTGATTAGCATGGAATAAAGAAAATACTGATGAACTAAGCACTTTTAACAGTGGCAGTACTGTATTATGTGTTATTTGAATGGACTTAGGCATGAAGATTTTCAGGATCCGGCTTTTGGGAGTTCACTCAAATAGGCCACTACTTCCTGTAAATCGCAGGCACGTTGGGTTTTCCACTGCAGCCACAGACCCTAACTCTCTACACTACCATATTCTGTGATCTGCCCACCTGCCACTACAGATCACTAAGACTGGTATGCTGCAACAATCCGAATTCGAGAGGTTTTTGAAATGTGTGGTGGGTTCACAGAAAGACAGAAATTGAGAAATGGACTTAGGGTATGATAAAGGATGCGGGAGAATGAATTAGAGTTGAGAAAAGAGTGTAACTTGAAAGCATTTTTTAAACAGTATCAAGCACTTACAAAATGAGTCAACAGTTGTATTGCTGCCAGAGTGCATAAATTCCTTAATCAGGCAAACTGACTTCAGAACTGTTATCCCCAAAGTGGTTTCGCCTGAATACAACTCCTGATTGAGAAAAGATTAAACATTTACACTGGGTTATTGTACCAGGTCACTCATTCAATAATCTCCAGTGTACACTACATTGTGCTCAAAAACAACCTGTAGACTCATGGCCTGACATGTCCCCTACTCTACCATTATGATCAAACCAGTGGATCAATCCTTGTTCAATGAAGAATGTGGGAGGGCATTTCAGGAACAAAACCAGGCAGAACGAAAAATGAGGGGTCAACCTGGTGAAGCTACACCACAGGACTACTAGCGTAGTCAAACAGCAAGTGATAAGACTACACAGCCCCACAACAAACATTTCAAATCTAAGCTCTGAAGTACTACATCATCCAGTGGTGAATGGTGGTGGACACCTAAAAAGCTAGTTCAGGAGAAGGCTCAATAAATATTCCAGTCCTCAATGATAGGTAAACCCAGCACATTCGTGCAAAATGCTCATCTGAAGTATTTGCAAAAGTCTTCAACCAGGTTTATTCCCCGTAGTACCAAGAAATAGCTATAAAAACTGGATACTTTAAAGACTGTGGGCCCTGACAGCATTCCAGCTATGGTACTTGAACACATGTGCCCCAGAACCGGCAGGTTCCCTAGCCAGGCGTTCCAATTGAGTTAAAACTTTATCATCTACCCGGCTTTCAGTTTGACCTCGTCTCAGCTTTGTTTCAAAAAGAGCTGAATTTCAGAGATGAAGTGACAACCAAATGTGGCATCAAAGCTTCCTAGCAAAACTGCGGGAAAAAAAAAGCACTCCCTGCTGTTTGGAGACATACCTAGTGAAAAGAATGATGATATTGGTTGTCGGAGGTCAGACATCTCATTTCCAGGACATCTTGGCGGGTGTTCTTCAGGGTAGTGTCTTAGACCCAACCATTTTCAGTTGCTTCATCAATGGCCTTCCCGCTATCAGAAGGTCAGAATTGTGGATATTTGTTGATAATTGTACAATGTACAGCACCATTCACGATTCCTCAGATACTGAAACAGTCTGTGCCTGTATGCAGGAAAATCTGATAGCATCGAGGTTGAGGCAGAAAAGTGGCACATAATATTTGTGCTGCACAAGTTCTAGACAATGATCATCTCCAACAAGGGCGAATCTAATCATCATCCCTTGACATTCAATGGCATTACCATTGCTGAATCATGCACTGTCAATATCTTGGGGGTTATCATTGACCAGAAACTGAGCTGGGCTAACCATATAAATACTGTGGCTACAAAAGCAGGTCAGAGTCTGGAATACTCTCTGCTTGCTTGGATAGGTGCAGCTCCAACAACACTCAAGAAGCTAGATACCATCCAGGGCAAAGCAGCCCGCATGATTGGCACCACATGCACAAACATCCATTCCCACCAACACTGACACTTAGGAACAACATCTGCAAGATACACAGCAGAAATTCACCAATAATCTTTTGATAGCATCTTCCAAATCCACAGCCATTACCATTGAGAAGGACAAATGTAGCAGATATATGGAGCACCATTATCCACCCACAAGTTCCTTTCCAAGCGACTCACCATCCTGACTCAAAAATAAATCACTATTTCTTCTGTGTTGAAATCCTAGAACTTCCTCCCTTATGTCATTATGGTTACACCTACACCAAATGTTTGCATTGGTTGAAGAAGGCAGCTTACCAGCACCTTCCCAATGGCAAGTAGGGATGGACAATAAGTGCTGGCCCAGTCAGCAATATCCCATCCCATGAATGATAAAAAAATGTTCAGGCGAACTTACTTGACTCATTGGAAGACATTTTTACATTTGTAGTACCGATCATTTACTTGCCAGTTGGCAAAATTAATGACCTGACTAATGTATTGCTTAAGGTGTAGCTGTATCTGCAATCACAGCAGTCATCACTTACCTTCCTGACACAGCTACGACATTTAAAGATGAACTGTCAAGAAGACTAAACAACTTCACTGACTCCTTAAACTCTCTAATCCGTGGTTCACAAACTCCAAACATCTGATGTAAAACCCAACAGCTGCTAAAGTCCAGCTGTCTCCAGGAAAATTCAAAAGACTCACTGGGGCAATCTATCAATGAGCCTCTTTTACAGGACCAGAAGAGTTCCAGGATATCTTCCCTATTCTGCCCTCATAAATATGACCAAAGGCAGAAATGGAGTCAGGAATGCTGGCCTCGCCACTTGTTAGCCATTTAATTTTCCAGTCCTGCCTGCTTTATGTTGCAATCATGACCATGAATCATCATCCCTCTGTCTTTGAGTGTTTGTTTTATATTGTCTTCTCTCCTAGCCAGTGCACTTTCAGTGGAAGTGAGTGAGTTTAAGGTACACATACTGAAATATTGGGAATTTATGTCTAACTGGCACTTGAATGGTTACACTTTCAGTTGTCAGTTTCAATATCTGTTGAAAATTTTACATCACACTAGGCATCAATTAGACTTAGGTTTGGTGTTAAATCCTGACAATCAAACTGGCATTTTAAACATTTGCTCTTAGCATCTAATTTCTGCCTTTGACCAGAATTATGCCCATAAATCTTTTTCAAAGCAGCTTGCTTCATTGGCTCAGTAACCCTTCCATGTTCCTCAGGATTATGAAATAGATTATGGTCCAGATCAATAGTTCTTTTGTCTTCCATTGTTTCACTTTTCCATGCCCTCTAATCTGCACAGTTGAGAATGTTTCAGTATATGCCCTCCCTTGAGTAAGGAATATGAAGCTAATTTTATTTGTCTCTTTTGGAAACCACTTGGTTGCTCATGTTTGAGCTGTTGAGGCTTCTGGTTGCACTGGTCTTTTGATATTTGATGCAATTCTAGTTTATGGAGCAATTTTCCTACAAAATGCAAAATAATCTAAAATAGTTAGAGATGAATTGCCCTTCAATTCAAAATGAGGCAGTTGCTATACCTTCAGCCTCCATTTCTGGAAGAGCAAAGGTAGTCATTAGATTCAGTTACCTTTGTTCTGATCTGAGGCAAGACTGAGCTGGTTAAGTTCTTCGAGCTACACATTCATGTTTACCTATTACAATACTATCGTTTCAAATTCTTTGGTGTCATGTATGCATCATGTATGCATATTTTCTACCTTTCTAGGAAATGTTGCAGTGGGTCAGTGGTTAGCACTGCTGCCTCACAGTGCCAGGGACCTGGGTTCAATTCCACCCTTGGGTGATTGACTGTGAGGAGTTTGCACATTCTCCCTGCGCCTGCGTGGGATTCCTCTGGTTTCCTCCCACAGTCCAAAGATGTGCAGGTTAAGTGGATTAGCCATGGGAAATGCAGGGTTACAGGGATAGGGTAGGGGGTGAGCCTGCATGGGATACTCTTCAGAGGGTCAGGATGGGCTGAAAGGCCTGCTTCCACACTTCAGGGATTCTATGATTCAAGGCAATAGCGGGCTGGGAAATGGGCTGATTTACTTTCCTGATGTATGAATAAACTAGATGTGCTTAATGGCTTCCTTCTCTGTTGTAATGACTCTGTGACTAGAATTTAGGGCATTTCTCTAAACAGAAGGTGACAGACAGGATTTTTTCTATCTTCCTAAGTCCATTTCCAAGGCAGAAGGCTCATGGACAGCCTCCTCATCAACTGGATTTCATCGCTCTGTGACTGATATTCAACCACTGAGGACTCACCATCTGGGAAGCCGGAAGGTTTCTGGGCAGTAGGGGAACTCTACATTTTCAGGCTATCAGTACTTTTTCAAAGACATTAAGAAGTTGGCAGAGATTGCCCACTGATAGCTACCTCCCTTCCCTTGTTGCTAATCTGTTCCACCTTGTAAACCTCCTCCCCTACATTAGTCACCTGTGTCCCGGTTCCTTGGACTCAAGTGGTTGAATTTCCTGAAGCAGCCACTGCCTCAATAGAGGCACCATCAAGAAAACACATCTGTTGGTTTTTGATTGGCCAGCAGATCTCTGGGGGGAATTGGGCGATCTTGCTATCTCAGAGCTCCTTCATCCTCGGGAAGAATCATCCCTGTCCAACCAATAGACAAAACCCTTCTGCCCTATAACTCTACGAGAGGTGCAATGTACATGCAAGTTTTCATTCCTTTTATTCTTTAATCGTCATCGGTTGTCCCTCAGTTTGAAGATGATCGCTGCTTGGGGTTGTGACTTTCTGCCATGGGTCTTCATGTGACTGAACAGGCTGATTCACAATCCTCAAATCATTGCGTGCATGGGGCAGGGACATCTATGAGGTAGTGGGACCCAGAGTACAGGACCTGCTGCCTTTTCTTTCCTTTTCTGTTACCATCTCTGCCTCATCATTAAGGCATTTTGATTCAAAGCACAATGCAACCTGATGAACAAGATGTCTGTTTTGAGCAAGTGGCAGAAAGTTCCAACCGGCCATTAATGCCAATGCTGCCACACTTCAAGGAGAACTTTCTCGTATCTTTGTCGTATTTTCTGTCTCTTCCCTGGAACACTGGCCACTTGAAAGTTGAGAAAACAGGATAAAGTGAACAAAATGCTTCACAGCCCTACAGACACAGTATCCAGTCCATTTCTGAGAAGAATTTAATGTGAGCAGTATTTTAATAATCTTTCTTATTACTTCTCCTTAATTCTGTATGGGATTTTCAACTGCCCATTTTCTTCATTGTGCTTGCTTGTTTTTTCCTTGAATTCAGCTTTCATTTTCAAGTTACTCTACTTCTATTCTCTTTACCTTGTCTTATACTTCTTGTGTAAATAATCACCATCCCATTATGGACGTTGGTAATCAAATTTTCTGAATTTTGATGCAGTTTGAAAGGAAGAGACACAATGTTCTCAGGATCCTAATAGTCTTCATTTTTTACTTTTCAGGAGACATTATGACATCAGTATCCAATAAAGAGATTTTCCGTTTCCTGTTAATGACCATCATCACTTTGAGCTGTATTTTAACTTTTATGTTGCTGTATGTAAAACCATCCAACATCTGGATTTATACTGCACTGAAATCTGCCACACCAGCACCAGATGTGAACAACACTTTTGATAGAGTTGCTGAAGAGAATAAAACTATTGTGCTCATTTGGCATTGGCCTTTTGGTCAGAAATTTGAGCTCAATTCTTGTAAATCCAAGTTTAACATCCATGACTGTCACTTGACTGCGAATAGGAGCCTCTTTAACAAGTCGCACGCTGTCCTTTTCCATCACAGAGACATAACTGGGGACTTGTCCAACTTGCCCACACAACCTCGGCCAACTTTTCAGAAATGGGTTTGGATGAACCTGGAGTCACCTAGCCATGCTCCTAAAAGGACTGGACTTAACAAACTGTTCAACCTGACCTTGACATATCGGCGGAATGCAGATATCGAAATGCCTTATGGGTCTTTGACAATGAACAAAGTCCCATTAGATTTTAAATTGCCCAGTAAAAGCTATCTACTGTGTTGGGTTGTAAGCAACTGGAACGCTAACCATGCCAGAGCGAAGTATTACAAAGAACTATCCAAATACATTAATATAAATACTTACGGTCAAGCCTTTAGAAAACATCTGAACTCTAAAGATTTGATCCCTACAATATCTAGTTGTAAGTTCTACCTTTCCTTTGAGAACTCAGTACATGAGGATTACATAACCGAAAAGCTCTACAACACCTTGCTTGCAGGCACTGTGCCCGTGGTCTTGGGTCCATCGAGAAAAAATTATGAAAATTACGTTCCAGCTGATTCCTTTATTCATGTGGACGATTTCAAATCAGCTGAAGAACTTGCAGCCTACCTGCATAAGCTGAATGATAATGAGGACTTGTACATGAACTTCTTCAAGTGGCGAAAGTATTACACAGTGCGGATAGCTCATTTCTGGGATGAACATGCATGTAATGTGTGTGAGAATATAAAACAGCATCAAGAATATCGATCATTTTCCAATTTAGAGAAATGGTTTTGGAATTAAATTCCAGCAAATACCATAGATCATCTGTCATATCAATGGGATTCAATTGACTTCTTTCCTCAAAAGAAAATATTTTCAATCAATTATTTTATTGAAGCCAAAGATAAAACATCCACAGGCTTCCATTTTATCTGGTTATGTAAAAATTTTTCATGTTCTGACACGGGTTTCTGATCTGAAGGGGACATCTACTGAAAAATGAAATTAATTTAGAAGCTTGATGATTTTATTTTAAAGAAACTTCTCAAAGAATTTCGTCGTTCATTGTCATTGTAGAAAAATATTAGGAAAACTAGTCTTTACACAAGTTAAAAGGGAAAATGCTCTGAAACAGATTATATACCCAATCTGCAATTTAAGAAATAAGCAATATGACACAGGAGCAGCAATAGGCTTTCCAGCCTGTGGGCCTATTCTGCCATTTGATAAGATCATGGCTGATCTAAGTGTGATCTCAACTCCACTTTCCTGCCTGCCTCCCACAACCCTTGACCCCCTTTTCTATTGAAATTTAAAATATCTCAATTTTTAATAAAAGTAATGACGCACCCCCTCTCCAACCACACACCCCCACCACCACCACCACCCATCCCCCCCAATCTCCTTTACTCCAGCTCAGGAAGAGAATTCCAACAGTCCTTTTAATGCAATTATATCCATTTTTTCAAATAAAGAGACCAAAAATGTTCGTTTTACTCCAGATGTGGCCTATTTGAGTGCCTGCACAGCCAGAGTAATGTTTCCCTACATTTTGGCTGCAGCTGCTGACATTCAAGAGCGTGCACAGTGGAAGCAATAAATGTCAAACAAATTTTATAGAAGTGATTAATAACTAGCAGACACACAAAAATGAAAAGTTTTGAATGAAAGTGTCAATTGGCGTATGTTAAAAAAAAACACCAGGCAAGATATTTTCAGTTTATTTTTAAATCAGCTTTTTTTGTTCTACTGGCATATGCACAGAATGAAAAAAATCAAAGGTGAGCACTCAAGAAATTAACAGTGGATCGTTGGTGTCAACAAACACTTCGGTACTTTCATATTGTATTCTCTTTTTAATAAACACCAATATTCCATTGACCTTCTTCATAACTTGCCAGAAGTGCACATTATCACTAATGTGCCAGGAGACACAGATCCATCTGTACCACTGAATGCTGCAATCTTTCTTTATTTGAATGATTTATTTTATTTTTCCTAATTGAAGTGCATATTATACATCATCTAGCAATTTTTAAAGTATTTACATAGCCTACCTAGATCAATTTATAGACTCTTGATAACTTCCTTTTCTGCCTATCTTGGTGTCATCTACAAATTCAACACCATACATTTGGCTCCTTCTTCCAATTTATTGATGTTGATTGTAAATAACTGAGGCCCCAGCACTGATGCCCGTGATACTCTACTAATTAAAATTTGCCAACCCAACAAAAACAAATTATCCCTGCTTCTGTGGGCTAACAAATCTTTTAATCATGCTGATATGTTACTCATTACAACATGAGGACTTTATATACTAACCTTTGATGTTTCACTTTATGAAATACCTTTGGAAATCCATGTAAACAACATCTGCAGTTCATCCTATCTGCCTGGTTTGCTGCTCCTTCAAAGAACTCTGATCAATCAGTTAAGTATGGTTTCCCTTTCATAAAACTGTACTGACTCTGCCTGATCCCTTTATAATTTTATATATCCTGCTGTACCTCTTAATAATGGAGTCCTACAAATTCTCTGTGACGGATGCTTGGTCAACTGTCTATTTTTCCCATTTTTTGTCTCCCTCCTTTCTTATATAAACGTGTTAAATTTGATATTTCCAACATACTAGGACTCTTCAGGAGGTAAGGAGTTTTAGAAGAATATAAGAAGTGCAGCTTTTATCTCTGCAGCCACTTCATTTAAGACCCTAGGATGCACACCATCTGTATTTAGGGACTTGTCAGCCTTTTGGTCTAATACTCTCCCAAAGTCCTTTTCTTAGTAATGGTGAATATTTTGATTTCTTCTCTCTCTTTTGCCTCTCGACTTTCAAGTACCTAAATTTTCTAAGTCTTCTGCAGTAAAGACAGATGCAAAAATCTGTCCAACTCTTCCTCTATTTCTTTGTTTTCCATTATTCATCAGCAGACTCACTCATCCTAACACGTGCATTGATTACTCATTTCTCTATTTATACATTAGTAGAAACTCTTACTATCTGATTTTATACTTCTCTCATACCCTAATTTCTACCTTTTAGAGAGGTTTTATTGTTTGTTAAAGTCTGTACAATTTTCTGAACTACCATTAATCTTTGCAAATTTGTACTTTACAGTGTTTCTTAAAATTCCAGATATGCTTAACTTACTCATTTATTAAGTAAGCATTCTTTCCAAAATATTATTGTCTATCTCATTGAGATTAATTATGTCTGAGCTATTAAACATCACTCAAAAATTCTGCCACTGTATCTATGATGTCCTACTTATTAGCCTAGTCTTCCAATTCCCTTCAGCTAACTCGACCTTAATTTCCTTATATTTACCTATTTTAGGTTTAAAGCAGTAACCTTAGTCCCAGATTTCTCACCTGAAACCAAGGTTCAGACTGAACATGAAATTCTATCAAGTTATGATCACTGCCTACTAGAGGTTTCTTAACTGTGAAGTTATCAATCAATCCTATCTCAGGGCACCAGATCTGGAATAGCCTGCTTTCTTCTCCATAACTTATGCTAGAATACACTGCACTAAGAAATTGTCCTGAATACACTCTATGAGCTCATTTTCTGGCTGTATTTGCAAATCTGATTTGCCCAATCTACACGTAGATTATATTTGCCTATAACTATTGCAGTACGTCCCACATACACCCCATTTATTTCTTCCTGTATACTCTGTCAGACAGAATATATACTGTTATGGGGTCTATATATCACTACCACAAGTGACCTCTTCCCTTTCATATTGTTTACCTCTGCCCAAACAGATTCCACATTTTGCTTTTTCAAGCTAAGTTCAAGTCTCACTCCTGTACTAATATCATCTTTAACTAACAGAGCTAGTTCACTGCCTTTTCCCACCTTTCACAGATTTCAAAATATCATTCAACATTAAGGTCATCTCCTTGGTCACCTTACACCATGTCTTTATACAGACTATCAGATTTTATATATTTATTTCCTCTCCGTGCTAATAATTTGTCCTTTTTTTAATAATTGATATAGGCATTTGGATACAGAGACTTTAATTTATCTTTTTATCATTTTTGCAATTTCTGGCTTTCTCAGCTTTTTCACTCTTAAGTATGTACATTCTGTCCTACAAATAACTTTGTCCACACTGTGACTATACTGGCCATTACTATGTAGTTACTGCTTCTAATTGTGTGGCTTCCTGCACCAGGGTACCACGATCAGTGTGGTCAGTGAAAGTCTATTGCTACTACTGTCATCAATACAAACTGCAAAAACCACAGTCCTCTTGGACAATTACAGGCACCAAGACTCCTCCAATTCTACCTTCTCAATATGCTTACATGGCTCATCCGACCTGCCTGTCCCTGATCACCAACCAAATCAGAGCATCCTATCCAATAGGAAGTGATTCCTTTCTGGAACAATGTGTCCAGGTAACTAATTGATAAACCCTCCTACTATGATGCTTTGCTACTGATAAGAAATCTTACTGCTGCTACAACTAATAAACCTTATAATTACTAATACATTGCTAATAAGAAGAGAAATAAGGCAATTATTACCAAGCAATCACTTGTTTCCCTGTGACATCATGTTTGATCTCTTTGGAGCATGGTCACTCCTCTTTGAAGTTATAGACTGGCACTCTGCTCTCGCTCTCTCATTTTCTTATTAAACTTTTGTGCTAGTGTTTTTGTACTCTCTCTTTGGGTTACTGGTGAACTGGTCTGCCATTCTCCTTTCATAAAAAAACCAAAAGAACTGCTTTTGCTGTAAATCAGGAACAAAAGCAGAAGTTGCTGGAAAAGCTCAGAAGGTCTGGCAGCATCTGTGAACAGAAAATCAGAGCTAACGTTTCAGGTCTGGTGATCCTTCCTCAAGTTCTGAGGAAGGGTTACCGGACCCGAAACATTAACTCTGATTTTCTCTTCTCAGATTATGCCAGACCTGCTGACTCTCCTTTCATACTCTTTTAAAACTGGTATTTTAACTGGAGAAATACTATTTCATTTACATTTCGGATTAAAATAATGAAATTTATAAGTACTGTAAATATCTACCTATTTGAGTGGATTAGCAAGGCTTTATTTAAAATGTATCATCGTGTTTGATCCTTAAACACAGTGGACACAAAATTAATGAGCTGACTTTATCCCAGCTCCACAGCTTCTAATCACAATATTATTCTGTGATCCAACTGGTTTGAAGACTCAATCATTTGTTGAAAATCAACATTTTTTTAATCATTTATTGCAGAAATATTGAACTCCAGACTGTGTAGCAAGTGGTCAACACAAATGGAACAGGCTCAAATTAAACACCTGCCAGAGGCAAGAAAGCATTTAGATTGGAGCAGGAGACATATACTTCTTGTCCCTGTCAATTCAGCTGATGATAGTTTTACATTTTAGACAATTAATGACCTGTCGGCTTAGTCGTCAATTGCTCAATGAGGAAGCCATGCTTTCTGGAGAGTGAGTGATCACAGTGCTCATGTTCTGGATGGCCTTCTCCACTGTCTGCACCATTGAGTGCAAACCCTCTGAATCTCTGCCATATCCCTACCTACCTCACACTGTCCATCCATCATCTTTCACCTGATGGACAGCTCATCTTCAGGCTGGGGGTCAGCATTGAGGTTGTGTGCAGCACTCAGAGGCCTGCATTATATCAGTCTGTGAATCTAGCCTTGCCACAATCATGAGCTCATACTGGCAAATAGATTCCACATAGCCCAATTTATGCACAAACAGCACGGAGCATGGATCTGCCTCAAAATCTCCTGCTCTTCAAAGGTTGACATGGGTCCATTGGGGCCTGTGGCTGTAGCTGCTCAAGTTTCACATGTGAGGGAAGCAAACAAAGAGAATGAGAGGCATCATTATCATCTGAGATGACTTTAGAGATGTATAGTCCCTATAAACACAAACACTAGCACCAGCAGAAGATATTATCCAGTACTTAAGCCTCACTGCC